TAGATAATCATATACTTGCTTCATTTCTTGGACAGAATGGTGATTTACATTAATTTATATCTTTGTGTTCCTGTCATCAGTAAACTTTGTTTTTATAACTGTCTCCCTAGGGCTCACTGATTTCTCAAGCTTCCTTTGTCCACTGGGTCATTGGTGCAGTGGGACAGGTTTCCCCGTGCCCTGCCCTGCAGGCACCATGAGGGCACAGGCAGGGGCAGCTGCTGTCAGTCAGTGTGAGCCTTGCCCTCCTGGTACCTACTGCCCAGACTCTCGCACCACGGGCCAGCCTAATACAGCAGGCATCCCATGTCGAGCTTCTTACGAATGTCCTGCAGGTAGTTGTGATTTCTACATGATTGATATTTACAAATGCACTAAAAGGTGTATAAATGGCACATATTATAACCGTGAAGTGTAATAAAGTGATCCATCATACAGGTTCAGTCACAGAGACCCCTTGCAGAGCTGGTTCATACTGTAGACCTCAGACAGGAGATCCCACACCATGTCCTGCAGGATACTACTGTCCTGAAGGATCTCGCACCTACAGCTCACCACAGCAAGTGTAAGCACCAACCTACTAGGGATGGATAATATATTGCAATGAGAGGTTTTTCAATATTGGATATTAATTGTGATATTCCTTTCCTCTATTTTTACTTTTCCTATCACTCACTTATACTAATTTAAATATAAATATGATTAAGAGAAAATTATTTTTGCAGATGTACTTTTCCACATTACTGCCCAGCCAACAGTTCTACCATGCTGTCCTGTCCGGATGGCTGGATGCCGCTGAACACCTGCGCGTTGAGGAAGTCTCAGAAGAGTAGCTGTGTGCTGTGTGGGGCTGGCACCTATCGGCCCAGTCGCTCCCCTCACCTCCAGTGCCTCCTCTGCCCTCCAGGACATCACTGCCCTCCGGGTCAGCACTGAAGAGCTCCCATAATGCAAACAATAGCAGTGCTGATTTATTATGTTTAATATTTGAATGATCTGTTTACTAGGCTCACACCATTATAGTGATCAACCTTGTCCAGTCGGGTACTTTTGTCCACAAGGCAGCTCAGATCCTGTTCCCTGCCTGCCTGGCTCATATGGAAACCGCACTAGTGCTGAATCACTTAAGGAATGTCACAAATGCCCACCAGGGACCTTCAATCACTTGCACGCCCAGAGAGCCTGTTTCCCCTGTGGGAGTTCGTCCACCTCAGATGCAGGTCAGAGTGTGTTTTTAAGACACTTTCTTTATCCTTAGGGGCCATTTACACAGAATGTGTTTTTGCCTTTAAAAATGCAAACTGCAGGCAGTGCTGGTAATAACAGATTAGGAGCCAGATTGACTAAACAGGGCAAATTAGCGTTAGAGGGTTAGGGTTAGGGAGCCGATGGGAGGGAAACATTTTGCGGGTGATTTACTAACAATGCTCACATTAAAGAACACAGACGCAGCCAGATAATTTCCATAATGGCCAGCGCAATCTACCAAGAGTAGTGCAAATTACCACCTGCTTTAAGACATGCTTTTATGGGCTTTAAATAGTGGTGCAAATACCAGTAATTTGACGAGCGCAAACGTTGCATGATTAATTTTAATACTCTACTCCCATAAATTTGGCGTATTCAATAAGGTCAGGCGCAAAAATAACTATGTTCATGCCTTTTCAGTGCTAATTCTTCACTGAGTGTCTTTAGTAAATCCTGACAGTACTATTTTAATGCCAAAAGATGGTTTGCCCTGGCGCAAGCTGTTAGTAAATCTGGCCCTGTATGTCTTCTGGATTACGCAATAAGATTCCAAAAATGAAATACTTGTATTTAAATGATATACATTTTTCACTACTACTATACTACAACTATTTTGATTGATTACATGATTACAAAATCAATGACCCTTTATACTCTTAAAAAACAAACCATAGCATGTAATGTTATTTCTTTTCATAGGGGCGTCCTCTTGTACCTGCATAGGCAAAAACCGTGCGTTCCAGCACTCAGATGGGTCGTGCTTGTGTAAGACCGGTTTTGTTTTTTACAATGAATTAGACTTCAAAAGCTCCACCGCAGACAGTGAACTGGACTGTCAGCCTGAGGTGAGATGTGTGCACTGAAGAAATGCTCTGTGTTTCTTCAGTTTATTTGTGTGAAAAGACAGTAAGGAGCTCTTCGTTCTGTGTAGGTGAAGATGCGCTGTGGGGCAGGTCAAGTGAGACTGGCCTCTACGCTGGAATGTGTTTTCCCATCCACCTACTCCTGTAACGTCACATGTGGACCTCAGGGTGGGAATTTGGATGTTGGGATGGGCATGTAAGTTTGCTGTTCCAGTGAGGAGGGAGACTTCTGTGTATTATAATGTTAACACTTTACAGTAAGGTTCAAGTTTTAGGTATAATTAACTTGGAATGAAAATACATTTACAGTATTTATTTATTTCAGTGTTTATGCTAATTGCTACATAGAATGGCATTAAAAAGTTTGGGGTATATAAGATTTTTTTTTACAGAAATTAATACTTTTTTTCAGCAAGAGCACATTAAATTGACCAAAAGTTAGAGTAAAGACATTTATATGTAATACAAGTAACAAATAAATGCTGTTCGTTTGAACTTTCTATTTATTAACGTATGCTTAAAAATGTTTTTTGACTGTTTTCAACATAACCATATTAGAATGATTTCTGAAGGATCATGTGAGACTGAAAGGCTGGAGTAATAATGCTGAAAATCCAGCTTTGCCATCACGGTTATGAATTACATTTTAAAGTTATATTACAATAGAAAAAGTTATTTTAAATAGTAAATTCTGCCTTGGTGAGCATGTGAGATTTATTTCAAAAACATCAAAAAATCTTACTGACCCAAAACCTTTGAACAGTAGTGTACATTAAAATTTTTAACAGTTGTATAAATTAACAGTGTATTATAGTCTATCATAAATTAACAGTGAACAAAAGCGTATTTACAAACTTTAACAAATTAATTCATAAATGCTTTAAGTTGTTGTTCATTAGTTCATGATACCTAATACATTAACTATGTTAACAAATTTAACCTTGTGCTACAATTATATATTTTTTTACTACGTCTCTTTAATACTTACAGTAATTATGATTGGTCAGTGTACATTTGATTGTTGTCACTGATATCTCCTATTCTTTGCTAGTTCCATGTCTTCTGAAGTAATCAAATATTTAGATCAATATTATCTATCTATCTGTCTATCTATCTATCTATCTATCTATCTATCTATCTGTCTGTCTGTCTGTCTGTCTGTCTGTCTGTCTATCTGTCAATCTATCTATCATTTACAGTCAGCTGGTCATTAATGTAAAATAAACCTCCTCACGATGATCATGACCATCTAAACATATTATCCTTTGCATAATGTGGTGCACATTATTAAAACTCAACCACTATGGTTTCATAGAATGATTCGTGGCTAATGATGTTTTCTTATAATGAGACGTTTGTGTTATTTTTCTGCAGTTGTCACTGCGATAGGTACGTGTCAGCGGAGGAACTGTGTAACTTTTCATGTGTGTCCACACTGCCGGTGCTCTCTGCCAGACTGGATACAGACGGACAGCTACTGTTGAGAATCAAAGCCGCAGATGAAAGCAAAACCTGGAGCAGGGTGAGATCTGGACCTGTTAAAAAGACAATTCATTGTTATCTATGAGTTATTATACTGTTCTTATTGATGTGAACTCATACTAAAAATAACATTGTTTCATTTTTCTCTCAGAATATGATAAATGTACTAGGACCTGATGTTCATGTCAAGAACATTGGAAGGATCCACTTCGTCCAGTTCGCTCCTGAGGGAGTGTTTGGTTGGATTTTAATAGACCCCTTGCTCATTGATTCTTTAGTAAGAGGTAAGCTGCCAGTGTTTATCTGACCTCCTGGCTCAAACATGTTGCCCAAATCTTTCATCAAAATAGTCCAGAACATAAAACTTTAACATACAATCTTATCGAACCCAAACTTTTTAACAGTAGTTTACATTAATATTTCATACAGTTGTATAAATGGACAATGTATTCTGATCAAACATAAACATTAACAATGAACAACAGTACATTTATAAATTAACAAATAAATGATAAATTGCTGTGAAAAGTTGTTTATTTCTTCATGATACCTAATGCATTAACTGATGTTAACGAACTGAATCTACTAAAGTAGTACAGTTATTATAAATTTTTTACTACACAGCCCTCTGTAATACTTCATTCTGATCAATCCGTGTATATTTGATGATTGTGACTGATTTTCTATTCTTTATATTTCCTATTCTGTGCTAGTTCTATGCTGCTGCATTCTCAAGATGTCAAATACATTTTAGATCAGTATTTCACATTTATTTATTAGCTTTTAAATAAGCAGAGTCATTTATAGTCAGCTGGCCATTAACACACAAAAAAAACCTTCAAGTTGGTACAAGAACACCTTGTCTAGGTTTATTTTGTGGTAATGACTGTCTAACTGTACATTATGCCTTCATTAAAACATTAAAGCTTGCATTTTTTCCTTTCAGAACCAGTTGAAATTCTGGAGAGAGATTTAAGGAAGAAACGACATGCTGATCAGAGTGAGGTTTCCGAGCCTCTTCCACGGATCCCAAATCCCATCGCATGTCTGTCCCCAAATGATATGCTCATCTTTCAGCTCACCATCAACCACACCGGTATGGCTTTGTCAAATACAGCACTAATAATAAAATATACCTAGTGTATGGTATGCATGTTTCATGTCATTCTGTGAATTTAGACCGCCACTACAGTCACTTCCCAGTGTACCAGAAGGATCACCTGTTCAGCAGTAACCCTGGCTGGGATTTTGGGGCATTTAGACGTCTGCAGCATCTTGTCAAACACACACAGCTATATTCCAGCAGGTAAGACTAGATAGGTATATCACATGTAGCTTTGAACACATATATGCAGCTGATCTGCATTGATTTATCTTCGTTAGATTTGCGCATGTGTTCATGGAGACGGGAAAGTATGTGTTCCTGGATAACGCAGTGCCGGACTGGAGTCTGATAGTGGTCGTGAGTGAACAGGGCTCGGAGTGCAATCCCACAACGGCTGCGTTCCAGCCGACGACCCCTGCACAGCTTGTGCGACACGGGATTGTTAAACAACACAGCTTAAACCTGCTTCCAGACTGGGGGCTCATCACAGGTGAGTCAACAATAAAACTGGGGTGCTTTGACATAGAAAGTGGCATTTGTCTTGCTAACAGGAATGCTTTACATGCTGTGCTTGGTGTTTCTTCATAGGGATCTTGTCTCTGTTGGTGTTGCTGATAATAGTGTTGACAGCCTCTGCTCTTGTCTTGAGGTTGAATCGGTCCAACCTCATCGCTCAAGGGAGGCCAAAGCCCAAGTGGCGCAGCTTGGGTGAACCCAGTGTTCCTACTGAATATGTTTATAATACAGAAAGGTAAGTCAGCTGCTTATTGCTGAGGTTTCTTGATGTTTGACAAAGGGATATTCACAAGTAGTTTGGGACAAGAATACTAGGGATGCACTGATATTACAATTCTGACATCTTAGCCAATATATATGCCAATTTATTTATTTTTTCAGTGTAATGACTGATAATTGATCAATTATTATTATTCTAAAATCAAATGAAAATGAATTGCTTTAAAGGATACACATAAATTTAGGCATCACATCATTATAATGTATACAGTAGTATCAAACATAGACATTAATTTTGAGATTTGCCAAAGATTACATTTAACAGTGTTACTGAATTATTTATGTTACTAATATTAATGTTATGAGTGTCAGATAATGGCAACAGTATTGTCAAAATGTGAGAAACAAGCATGTACAATCAAATATTGACCAGTATACACTATATTTGGGGTCAGTAAGATTTTGTTTTTGTTTTTGAAAGAAGTCTCCTATGCTCACCAAGAATGCATTTGTTTGATCAAAAATACAATAAAATCAGTAATATTGTGAAATATTATTACAATTTATGCTCACCAAGGATGCATGTGTTTGATCAGAAATACAATAAAATCAGTAATATTGTGAAATATTATTACAATTTATGCTCACCAAGGATGCATGTGTTTGATCAGAAATACAATAAAATCAGTAATATTGTGAAATATTATTACAATTTATGCTCACCAAGGATGCATGTGTTTGATCAGAAATACAATAAAATCAGTAATATTGTGAAATATTATTACAATTTATGCTCACCAAGGATGCATGTGTTTGATCAGAAATACAATAAAATCAGTAATATTGTGAAATATTATTACAATTTATGCTCACCAAGGATGCATGTGTTTGATCAGAAATACAATAAAATCAGTAATATTGTGAAATATTATTACAATTTAAAATAACCATTTTCTATTATAATACATTTTAAAACGTAATTTATTTTTGTGATGATAAAGCTTAATTTTCAGCATCATTACTCCAGTCTTCAGTGTCACATGATCCTTCAGAAATCATTCTGATATGCTAATTTGGTCTTCAAGAAACATTGCTTACTATAAATGTAGAAAACAGTTGATATCTTCTTAGAAACCTTGTTACATTAGCAGATCTCAAAATGAAAAGCCAATTTTCATATTGCACATTATTATATTGTGATGCCTAAATTCACTTGTAGCATGTAAAGCAATCAATAGCACATGGTGCAGTTTTGAGTGTGCTTTGTATTGTGTTGTAGTGTGGACGGCTCTGAGCCACTAGGTCTGAGAGGGGTGGGAGAGGGAGCAGCATCAGAGGAACCTGCTGTTTGCAAAGGAGGTAACTGACAATCATCTGAAATGCCTGACAACGGATAAATATACAAAAACTCTTCTGAATTCTGCCGAATCTCATAAGGTTTCAGAACTACACTAATGGAGCTGGAGGAGTTTAATGTGAAAACTCTGTATGACAAGTTAGAGGATCAGAATTTACATCTGACATCCCAGCTGGCAAAGCACCGCAAAGACACACAGGAGTTTTACAGGAACATGTGCCAGCAAATTGATGCTCTGAGGGTAAGACAGAAACAGGAAGTCAACTGAAGATAAGAAATGCATCAAAAATGGAAATAATAACATGATCAATCTTTAACTAATCAGTTTGTACATCTGGTATTTAGGACACACTAGAAAATATGGAACCCTCAAAACTGAACCAGCTGAAAAAAATACTAGACAATGAAGTTCTGATGAAAGGAGAAACTGCTCATGGTGAGACAGAAGTTTGCTATAACTCGGGCCTTACATGTGTGTATCAGTCTTAAACAGTCACAGGTCTGTGAAAGTATTTGTGTTTGCACCAGAGCCGTGGATGGGGCTGATGGAGGCCATGCTGAGATCTTTGGAGGGAGTGCTGTGCAGGATGAATGGGGAGGTCTGGCAGCAACAGGACAGCACAGCAACAAACAGCCACAGAGACACCCGAGAGAGTGAACTTCACACTGGATACACTCAGGTTACTTATTTCAGTCCATTAAAACAACACAGAGCCATGGATGACCAATGAATGCACATAATAGTGATATTAAAAGAATAATTCAGTAAAAAATTAAAATTTTGTCATTATTTATTCTCTGTTGTAAGTATACAGGATGTCATTCTTTAAATGTGAGACAAAAGTTTCAAAATTGATCTATTATCCTTTTTTGATCAGATCATATTATATCTTTAATCATAAAAGTGGTCCATTGGTGTAAAGTTTGATTTGTTCTTTTGGGCTGTGTTGTTAGTGTGAACTAAAACCATTACAAATTATTTTTGTTTATTAAAATAAAGTTGAAATAAAACGAAATGTAAATATTAGAAGAAAAAAAAACTTGAGCAAAAATTTGAGTAACACTTTACAATAAGGTTTCATTTGTTAACATTAACTATATTAGTTAACATAAACAATAATTATATAGCATTTATTAATGTTAGTTAATATTAAGTTCAAACTTACTAATACATTATTCAATCTGTTAACATTAGTTAATGTACTGTGAATTAACATGAACATTTTTATTAACTAACATTGACAAAGATTAATACATTTTGAAATGTTGCCTACACTTCAACACTAAATGAAAAAATAAGTTGAAGCTGAAGTAGCACAATTACTAAAACTAAAATAAAAATAAAGCTAAAAAAAATCTTAATCCAATAGAAATAACAAAAACGTATAACAAAATCACTAAAGCTCAAATAAAATAAAAACTACAATAGTATATAACTAATACTAAAATAGCACTGCTTTTTAACACCTCTTTTCAGTGAATCGGTTCAAACACAACCAATCTGAAATTATTCATTCACAAATCATACACAGAATCTAATATAGATGCATCAGTTTACAGCTTTTTGTGTTCAAAGGGGGGGAATAAAAATCAAACCTGTTTGATTGAGTACATAATGACATCATTTTAATTTTGGCTGAACTATCCCATTAAGTATTTCTGTATCATTTTACAGTTTTCTCCTGCAGACATGTCCGAGTTTAAAGTGGGTGCAGATACAGCGGCAGCTTCCTCAGATCCAGGTTCGACCTTGATAAAAAACAGTTTGCAGTCTTTGACCCAGGGCTACTGCTGTGCTCACAGTACATGCTCTCATCTGTCAGGTCAACAGCAGAGCACCATCCCCTGCGTGAGTGAAGAGGATCTGGCCAAGTTTGTGTCTCTGACGCCTCTGTCCAAAACAGTGCAGGAAATAAAGGAATCGCTCCAGACTCTCGCCCACACGTCCGAGACAGAGGACGGTCGGTACACATTTATGCATTTGGATTCAGTGAGCTAAAGTAGAAATGCATCATATACAATTTTATTTATTTAAAATATACTTTATTTATCTATTGTATCTGTTTTGTGTGTCATGTAAGGTCTTCTAGTCGTTTCAGAGTTTTGTAATGACCTACATCTGCTTTCTTCTTCTTCAGTAATTATCAGCCCAGCAGAGGGTGAACCATCGCACCTGATCCCTGTTGCCCTTGACAGCCTTTCCCCACAGCATTTCGCTGTCTTCCTGTTTGGCTGCCATCTTGTGCGTTTACTGAGCAGAGCTTGTTCCTTCCCCCCTGTCGTGCTGCTATTGGCCAGGACGGTGCCAGTCTCTCACTGTGATAACCTGCTGGCCTACTGCCATAAAGACTTTTATTACGACACAGCCAATCAAATTCTGTACATCCTAGAGAAGAAGCTTCAAAATGCTGGCCAGTTCATCTCCATTCTTTTACACTCAATGGCCTATATCACCTCAGGTAAGAAAGATTGCCCTAGTCTTCGCTACATAGTTTTTTTTTATGTCTACAGATTTCTTTTACCTTTATTTAACAAGGCAAGTCACATAAGGACAAAATTTGTTTTGAAAGAAATATCTTATGCTCAGAAGGCTGCTTTTATTTGATTCAAAGATACAGTAAAAACAGTAATATTTTGAAATATTATTACAATTTAAAACAACTTTTTTCTATTTTAATATATTTTAGAATGTCATTTATTTATATGGTGGCTGAATTTATTTGAAATAGATTTTTTTTTTACCAAGTAAAAGACTTTACTGTCACTTTTGATCAATTTAATGCATCCTTGCTGACTAACCCCGTTTCACAAACAAAGCTTAGGCCTAATCCCAGTCTAAAATGTAAGTCTGAACTGTTTCAACTGAAAGAAACTTGCACTAACTGATCTTAAAATATGTCAGTGCATTTGTTTTATCTCAAGATGCACACCACTATTGTTTTTTCTAAGGCATGTTTATAAAAGCTACTTAAATGTCCTAATTGAACTATTGCCTAATCCTGGTTTAACCTAAGCCCTGTCCGTGAAACCAGGCCTTAAAGAATTAATAAAAAAAAACAGTAGTGTACAGTACATAAAATATACTAATACACAAAATAAGACAATTAAAGCATATATAAAATATATCTAAAATGCTTGTTTTTAGTTCTATAAAAGCTTTGATAAAGAGATAAGTATCATCTTTCAGTAACATCTGCAAAGTTCTCCAAACATAAACAGCATTAAACCTTTTTCTTTTGGCATTTCTATTTTTTTACAGGCTCAAAATCTCTCGAATTCATAAAAGCCTTCCACTTGGCCGTTTCAGCATTAAGCATGCAGTTGTTTCATCACTCTTTCACTGAGGATCAGAGGAAAGGAAAGGTAAGACACGTGTTTGAAATATATACAGTATAAAATTCAGGAAGAGCTAAAACAGACTTTTGCTCTCATGTTAGATGGATGAGGAAAACACACCAGAGGCCTTTGGAACATTAGTAGAGGACTTCTTCAGTGTAAAAATACCTACTGAAATGCATTTCACTGAACACCTGCTGGCAGAGAGGTTAGGATCCAATCTAAGGTGAGTTTTGAAATTAAGAATATATTAAAACATTAAAAACATTCACTTTAATTGATTTTAGACTTCAAGTATATAAATACTTCAAGTTGGAACAGCTCCTCCAAGAACTAAAACCAACTCTAAAAGACAGACATGGAGATGGTGAGAGATTTTGAGAGCGATTTTTGAAAGAAAACATTCTTAGCCTTGCAAACACCTGAACACGGGTACCATTTTGGGTCTTTTGTGCACAGGACGAGGGCAAACTGGCCTAAGAACACAAGTACCAGTGAGTGAAAGCACTTTTTGCATGTTATGTTTTATTTATTCTGAAGAGTGTACATCTATGGAAATATCTCCTGTTTTTTTATCTACCTGTGCTTCAGGTGCTGTGTATGGAAAGAGAAATAAACAGACTTGATGAAGTTTACCAGCAGCTCTCCTCTGAACTCTACAGGGCAACACACATACACAGCTCACCGGAGAAGAAAGAGCCCAGGTTTGACAAACCGCTTCAGGTAACAGTCAGTCTGACTCACCTCATGGAGACCCCTATTCAGCCCCCACTATATTTGCAAGAGGAATGAATTCACATTGTAAAATGTATTTCTCACCCCTTCTGTCTGTGTCTCTGATGCCCCCCATGCTTTCAGGAGCAGCAGGTGATGCTGGAGCTGCAGAAGTGTACGGTGGATCAGAGATTGAAGGCGATGAGAGACAGACTTTCTAAACTGAGCTCAAGCCAGCGAGCGAGTCCTGATGAAAACACACCTGCTCACGGCACAGTCCTGGCTCAGGAAGACAGCCAGACTCCCAGCAAACGCAAACCAGACAGGGGAGGAGCAGAGAAACAGACACCTGCTGCAGGACAGTCCAGCAACAAAAAGCAGAGTAAGCATATGGACAAAGATGAGGAAAAGGGTGTGACTGCGTGAGGAATAATGTTTGAAAATGGTGATTATTCTAAAAAGAATCTGTTTCTTGTCTTTACACCGTTTTATTCTTACAGATCTTACAAATTACAATCATTAATTTATCCATTCATAATGACTGTGAAACTTATGTGGCACAGTCACAGCCAGTCAGAAGATATTTAATGTTTAATATACAGTTATGATGAGCAGGGCAAGACGAAATAGAAACAGAAACCAAAATGTCCTTTCAGTTGTCACTTGTAGATCTCATTGCTATTTATGACAAAACTCACATGGAGGAGATGGATTTAACATTTAACACACCTGGTTTAGAAGCAGTGTTATGCTAAACAACTTGGCAAATGTAGTCACAACCTTAAAACTGAATCTTTATGGTTTATTTTCATCAATGTATGCATATATGTACACTACTGGGTTGGTAAGATTTTTTTAAATGTTTTTGAAAGAAGTCTCTAAAGGATGCATTTATTTGATCAAAATAATTGGTATAAAACATTAATATTGTGAAATATTATTACAATTTAAAATACTGTTTTCTATTTGAATATATTTTAAAATGTAATTCCAGTCTTCAGTATCACGTGATCCTTCAGAAATCATTCTAATATCAAGAGACATTTCTTATAATCAGTGTTGAAAACAATTGTGCTGCTTATTATTTTTGTGAAAACCGAGATACATTTTTGTTCAGGATTCTTGAACATACAGTTCAAGAGAACAGCATTTATTTGAAATAGAAGTCTTTTGTATTATAAATGTCTTTACTGTCACTTTTGATCAGTTTAATGCATCATTGCTGAATGAAAGTATTCATTTCTTTAAAAAAAAAAATCTTACTGACCTCAAACTTCTAAATGTTAATGTATGTTTTTTATTAATTATCATTCATTTGAACATGATTTAAAATCAAAATGTATAAAAACAAATCAAAGATATAAAAAACATCATCATAAAAGTGTCATTTCTTATGTCAATACAAGAACGAGGGAAAACGTTACTAATTAAACATGCTATGTAATATGTGTGGCATGTTTTATCTGGGTTTTTCCAGTCAGTAATCTAACAGTTCATGCATGCTCATGCTCAGAGCCGGGCTAAACTCTTTTCCTCTAGGGGGAACAGACTGTGAACAGATTGGGAGGGAGGGGGAGCGGTAGCTGTCATCAGCCGCTATGAGTGTTACAACTCTCTGTCCTTGAGCTGATACGCTCAAGAAAGTTCCATTGGCTGTGTGCCGTCTGACTTTATCACCTTCGATTAAACGAACAGTGCATCCACGCAGCATCCAGGGTGGACTTTCCACTTAACATACCTGTCAGACTCCACAATCTGCTGCTGAAGTAGATGCAGTGTTTGCAAGGCCCTCATACAGAATAATACGCTCACATTCAGACTGTATTGTAGATGTTTAGATTTTTTTCCTAGATGTGCCATTCATTTTTAATGCCTATGGACTTTATGCTTTTGAGAAAAGTAGCTTATAAAGTTTTAAAAATCCTGACACTGATTTAATTTTTGCAGGCTAATAATAATAATACATTATTATATTAATATTTATTGTCATGGTTATTGTTATCATCACTAACAACAACAGTAAGGACAATTACCATTATTATTGTTGTTGTTACTACAACAGCAACAATAACAACAATTACTATATTAACAATTGTAGCAACAAATGTTGTTGTTGTGACGACAACAACAATAATAATGGTAATTGTCATTACTGTTGTTGTTGTTAATATCATGTTATTATTATCTAATACAACTAATGCAAATAAAATTCTTGAAGTTTTGAACTTAAAGGCAATCTTTGTTTGAGCTCAGATTGACCGCTAGTGAAATTGTGTCTATTTAGCATTTTTAGATGTCATTTAAATTTAATTGTTTCTTGATTACAAATTATATGATCATAACAGTTTGAGTTTGCAGTTGAAAGTTAAATTACGAATTAATCACAATATTTTAATATAAGATTTAATATTTTAAGATTTGGCTTGACCTAAAATGTATTTTATAGTTTATAAATATGTATTCTTAATTTTTTTATTTAATTATTATTTTAATGATATCATCATCACAACTAATATAAATAACAGCTACAACAACAATATAAAAAACAACAACAACAAAATCAATAATAATAATGACAAACTATTATCATTGCTGTTGTTAAGACCAATAGCAACAACATTATTATAGTTATTAACAACAATAAACATTATTATTGTTGTTGTCACTACAATGACAACATCAACAACAATAGTGTTCATTGTTGTTGTTAATAATGATACTAATAATTATTGTTATTATTATCCGTACAACTAATATTGTAACGGGGCTGACGAGACGTGAGACGTGTGGATCCATCTACAGGCTTTATTAAAGAGACGTAGTACACAGGCAGGGTCAAAACAATGGCAAACAGGTATATGGCGGGCAAAACAAGAATAGTCCTAGGGCTAGCGTAGGTCATCGATCAGCAGACAGAATCAAAGGGGCGAGACGAGAGGGAGAAATCCAAGGAAACAGGCAAAGATCAAAAACAGGCAAGGCAAGGCAAAACAAGGGAGACTCGGAAAGGGGTGCAGGCTAAACAATACTCCGCAGAGAAATGTGGTTAGAGTGGGGGTTATATAGTGAATGAGGTAATTAGAAACAGCTGTGTGCAATGAGTGCAATCAGGGATGGGCAAAAGAATGATGGGAAATGTAGTCCGGGGTGCTATGCAACAGTTTGTGTAGTGCGAGAGTCAATGAAATGGAAAGGGTGACCTCTGGTGGTGAATAAACAGAAGTCCATGGACTGAATTTGTGACAGAGCCCCCCCCCCATGGAGCGGCTTCCAGACGCTCCAAACACTAAACGATCCAGGTGGGCGGAGGTTCTGCAGCGGATGCCGCCAACCTCTGGAGGTTCTACAGTAGCGCCCTCAAGATACAGGGAGAGTTCGGCGAAGGTTTCTTCGACCCTGACTTGACAGTTCGAATGTACGTTTCTAGGCGCCACCACCACGCAAGGAGCTGAAGCGAGCACCGCCGCTTCGGAAGGTTCTGCAGCACGCGCCGCCACCTCTGGAGAAACTGCAGCGGGCACCATCGCTTCGGGGAACACAGCAGCGAGCACCACCACCTCAGGAGAGACTGTAGCTTCAGCCACCGACTCTGCAGACCTGATAGTGGGTGCTGCCGCCTCTGGGAGTTCTGTGGAGGTGTATGCAGCCCAAACGCAACAAAAGGCGATCCCCATCAGGGGAAACACTTCAGACAGGGGAATTAGTTCATGAACAGAAGGGTTAGTGTGAGTGGGTTTGGGGATAATCAGCTGTGACGGGACGGGACTCCGGATGATCAGCTGGGACTCCGGATGATCAGCTGTGACGGGACGGGACTCATGAATATCAGCTGTGACTTGACCGGACTCAGGATAATAAACTGTGACTCGATTTGACTCATGACGATCAACAGTGCCTAGACTCGACTCAGGAAGATCAGCTGGGACTCGACTCAGGAAGATCAGCTGGGACTCGACTCAGGAAGATCAGCTGGGACTCGACTCAGGAAGATCAGCTGGGACTCGACTCAGGAAGATCAGCTGGGACTCGACTCAGGAAGATCAGCTGGGACTCGACTCAGGAAGATCAGCTGGGACTCGACTCAGGAAGATCAGCTGGGACTCGACTCAGGAAGATCAGCTGGGACTCGACTCAGGAAGATCAGCTGGGACTCGACTCAGGAAGATCAGCTGGGACTCGACTCAGGAAGATCAGCTGGGACTCGACTCAGGAAGATCAGCTGGGACTCGACTCAGGAAGATCAGCTGGGACTCGACTCAGGAAGATCAGCTGGGACTCGACTCAGGAAGATCAGCTGGGACTCGACTCAGGAAGATCAGCTGGGACTCGACTCAGGAAGATCAGCTGGGACTCGACTCAGGAAGATCAGCTGGGACTCGACTCAGGAAGATCAGCTGGGACTCGACTCAGGAAGATCAGCTGGGACTCGACTCAGGAAGATCAGCTGGGACTCGACTCAGGAAGATCAGCTGGGACTCGACTCAGGAAGATCAGCTGGGACTCGACTCAGGAAGATCAGCTGGGACTCGACTCAGGAAGATCAGCTGGGACTCGACTCAGGAAGATCAGCTGGGACTCGACTCAGGAAGATCAGCTGGGACTCGACTCAGGAAGATCAGCTGGGACTCGACTCAGGAAGATCAGCTGGGACTCGACTCAGGAAGATCAGCTGGGACTCGACTCAGGAAGATCAGCTGGGACTCGACTCAGGAAGATCAGCTGGGACTCGACTCAGGAAGATCAGCTGGGACTCGACTCAGGAAGATCAGCTGGGACTCGACTCAGGAAGATCAGCTGGGACTCGACTCAGGAAGATCAGCTGGGACTCGACTCAGGAAGATCAGCTGGGACTCGACTCAGGAAGATCAGCTGGGACTCGACTCAGGAAGATCAGCTGGGACTCGACTCAGGAAGATCAGCTGGGACTCGACTCAGGAAGATCAGCTGGGACTCGACTCAGGAAGATCAGCTGGGACTCGACTCAGGAAGATCAGCTGGGACTCGACTCAGGAAGATCAGCTGGGACTCGACTCAGGAAGATCAGCTGGGACTCGACTCAGGAAGATCAGCTGGGACTCGACTCAGGAAGATCAGCTGGGACTCGACTCAGGAAGATCAGCTGGGACTCGACTCAGGAAGATCAGCTGGGACTCGACTCAGGAAGATCAGCTGGGACTCGACTCAGGAAGATCAGCTGGGACTCGACTCAGGAAGATCAGCTGGGACTCGACTCAGGAAGATCAGCTGGGACTCGACTCAGGAAGATCAGCTGGGACTCGACTCAGGAAGATCAGCTGGGACTCGACTCAGGAAGATCAGCTGGGACTCGACTCAGGAAGATCAGCTGGGACTCGACTCAGGAAGATCAGCTGGGACTCGACTCAGGAAGATCAGCTGGGACTCGACTCAGGAAGATCAGCTGGGAC